GAATAATGACGACATACTCTGGAGCCACGGCAATGACAGTTTCTAGAGTTGAAACAAGTCTGCGCTGAAATATTGGGTTTTTGGAGCATAATTGCAGATATGTGGTGATTGAAATGCTGGGCTCTGGCGGTTTTGGTGACGTTTACAAAGCTCAAAAAGTTGGTACCGAAGAATTTTATGCCATAAAAACCCAATATCACGATGCAAGCAGCAGACGAGCGGACCGGCTCAAGGTCATCTCGCACTACAATTCATTCAAATTTCAAAACTTAGTGAAATCTGAAATCTGAAGAAATAAATGAAAATTAAACGAAAACAAAAAGTCTTAAAATTTTTCTTGATTTTGAAAAGGTTTGGAAAATTTGCACATTTTCTTAATTGGAGGAAAACTAAGAGAAGCTGACTAAGGGAGAAATTCAGAAAAACTTCGAGGGCAACAATTCTGGGAATTAAAATTTTGATAATTTCGATTAATACGAGATTCTTTTAGGATTAATATAAGGTATATTCAAAAATTTTGGCAGTGTCCGACATTTTTTGTTTATAATAATAGCGAGGAACACACCTGTCTGCCTTTTTCGTGAAGCACCATTGTAGTCAGGATTCCCGAGAATTATGGTTAAAGATCCTCGGACTCGAAACAAGTTCGGAATGCAAAGTTTTAAGAATAAAAGTTTGATGGTTTTAAGATAGAATTCATCAGTTCGTGAGGTTTGTGGCCGATTCTGAAGCTAGGAACAGAATGTTCAAAATAGTGAGGCACTCTGAGCAAAAATAGTCACGTGCAAAAACAACTGTAAAAATATTCATGCAAAAGAAGCAGTTTCGAAAACTGATCCTAATATTTTTGTGGATTTCGGATTCCGTCACCAGCTTGCTTGTAAGCAACTCTCCAATGAGGTAGCAGTCGGGAGTCTTGCCAGTGCTTGGTTGCTGTTGGTATTTGCAACTCTTGAAATACCTCGGAGATAATACCTTTTTTCGTAGGGAATGAATGCGGTAGGGAGTAAAGCGGTAAGGGACTTTCATTTTGACGATTCCTTGCGAAAATCCTGGATTTCCGAGGGACACGGGTAATCTTTAGCGCCATTCAAGGTGATGCTGGCGCTTTTAGATCGAAGCATCGGTTATGAATGCAATCAACAATTTCGAGGATGCATCACGGAAGAACCATTTAATAACACTGATCGATCAAGGCAAAACCGATCAATTCCAATTTATTGTTATGCAGCTGCTTGGGCCAAGCATTTCCGATTTACGGCGATATTTTATATGTAGTGAATTTTCGTAAGTTTTTCTCAACGCCATTTATGTGTGAAAAATTTTCCGAGAAAAAAGGCTCATTATCTTAATAAATATTACTTTTTTATCAAATACATGATAGGGAATTCGCGAACTGCATAATTCGTTTAAAAATTGAAAAAATGATGAGGTGGAATCCCAGTCGTCAGCATAGTTTCATGCCTTGCCGATCTGCTGTAACTCAAAGTAGTATGTTTGCACATGAAGCTAATTTTGCCTAAATACAGGCCAGAACGAATCGGTCTTTTCACCTTTACTATCTATGGATCCTTTAAATCGCGATGCGTCAGCCATTCGGCACAACTTGTCTTTATGCTCCATGTCAAATCGAATTGATGATTTTCGGATCCCTCAAATAGTGTCGTGTTAAACTTTACACTACCAACTCAAACGCTCCACGTGGAATCGAATTTCTCGTCTTTACTATCTCCAAATTTTTCAAATTTTCGTGTTAGTCATTTGTACTGCTAGCCTTGATTCTTGACTATCTCTGGATCCTTCAGACTACTTTACCAGCTCGTATTCTCGATACGCGAAAATGGAACAATTACATTTGTGTGTATGTTACTCATGAACACACTTATGCATATAGCCATCACTAGCACAGCAAGCAATATACACATTTCACCTAATTTTTGCTAACTTTTGCAAGATAGCATGGCAATCTGCAACTCATTTCTTTTATTCGAACCCTCCCTTAATCTGGTGTTATCAGAATACTACAATTCTTATCAAAGATCTTGGGTTCTCGAGGATTTGTTCTACCACGATTCTTTTCGAGGTCTCGGATCTTTGAGATTTCTCTTACTACGATTCTTTCCGAGCGGACCTTCGTAGATTTGCCTTTTTGTGATTATTTTTCAAGAAATTATGGATGTTTCAACTTCTAAGCAACTCTCAAATTGTCTTCCAGAAAATCTTGGTTGGAAAAATATTTTACAAGAACTGTCGATTGCCATCCTAGTTGAGGTATCATCACCTCTTCAAAACAGGGATTCTATAATATTTCATGGAAAGTATGGAGTGCTGGAGTTTTTTAGTTTGAGCTCGATTAGTCTTGATGTGGTCTAATAACTGCTTCAGCAGGTCCACGGCGATGCGTGTTAGTCAGCAAACACTACAAGGTATCTGGGATCTGCATGTGATCGGCTATTTGCACAAAGATATTAAGCCGCAAAATTTTGCTATCGGTCTGAACGATAAAGCGCACGTAGTGTATTTGATCGATCTCGGAATGGCGCGCAAATACATCGATCAGCAGACCAAAAAAATCAAGTAAGCTCTGTTACACAGTGTGCACAGATGCGGCCAGAAAGGCTGATGCAGTGTTTCAGAAAGATCCCAGACCAGAAAATCCCAAAAAATGTTAAGAATCTCCATTAAAATGTTTATATATATATA